TTACAAGATATGTAAAAGAAGGGTGGCACCTGTGACTCAAGGGAGTGGGGCACTAGCCCCATATACCGGAGGTGGCAGGTTCAAGCCCGGCCCCATAAAAACTGCAAAAAAAAAAAAAAAGATACAAATTCTCAGATCTTCGAGTATAAAAATCACAACAAACAGTAAAAAAAAGTGGCAAAAGTGGGCTGGGCATGGTAGCTCACACCTGTAAGCCCCACTCCTGCAGACCAAGGCAGGTAGATTGCTTGAGCTCATGAATTGGAAATCAGCCTTAGTGAGAGCAAGACCCCCATCTCTAAAAATAGCCTGCCATTGTGGCAGGTGCCTGTAGTCCCAGCTACTTGGGAGGCTGAGGCAAGAGACTCACTTGAGCCCAAGAGTCTGAGGTCACTGTGAGTTATGACATCACCGAAATATACCAATGGTGACAAAGTGAGACCCAGTCTCAAAAAAAAAAAAAAGAAGTGGAAAAAGTAAAAATATGATACGTTTTCTTTTGGCGATTTCTTTAAAAAGGTAAGTGTTTAAAGGAATGGCCCTGAAATAAGTAATGGCCCTGATAAGTAATGGCCCTGAAAGTTAGGATTTATAAACCAAGGTAGAAATAAAGATATAACAACAGCAAAAAGGACAGACAGGTGGACTAATTAATTTATCTGTCCAGCAGTTATGTTTCTTGTTTCATTCTCAAGAACTCGATTAGCATAAATCTCCCCAGAAACATATGTACTCTTAGTATGTAAAAAAGTGGCAGGTATCTAAACCTGCAAAGCTGGGCACAAGACCCTCTGAATTCACCAGGACAAACACCAGTATTTGAAGCCCCATCTGGATGACTGGAGTCAACCTACCCTGACAAGCTCCATAAACTATGAATTTTAACATTTGAAACTAGACTGCTTCTGTGGTTGTGCCATACATATCTGTTCAACATGCTTTACATTGAATTGCACATATATATTGTATGTTGTACAATTGGTAGAATTTGCATCTTAATGTCAATTTATATCATTACAGAAATGTCTTTGCTATGCTTTCTTTTTCTGACAAATGTTAGCTTTACCTCTCACTTATATGCTGCCAAATTTACAAACTAGACTATAATCCCAAATAACCATCCTGTTTCTATGAGAAAAATGGTTCATTCCATGAAAAATAATGTTCATGTTAACAAAATCTAATTTATATTGGTGCTGTCAATTTTCTGTGTGTTTATTTTGAGATAGAATCTCACTCTGTCATGCTGGGTAGAGTGCTGTGGCAGCATAGCTCACAGCAACCTCAATCTCTTGGGCTTGAGCAATCTTCTTGCTCCCCAAGTAGCTGGGACTACAGATATCCCACCACAAGGCCCAGCTTGTTTTTCTATTTTTAGTAGCGACAGAGTCTTACTCTTGCTCAGGCTGGTCTCCAACTCCTGAGCTCAGGCAATCCACACACCTCCACCTCCTAGAATGCTAGGATTACAAGCATGACCCACCAGGCTCAGCTGGTGCAGACATTTTCTGAGATTAAGTCAATTTTATGACACAACAGCAACCAAAATCACACTAAACCTACCATAAGGTAAGTCCATTAGTTAACCTGTCATTTAAGATCACAAGAAAGGGATATAAAGTATGTATGCAGATTTTGCAGTTTATTTTCTCTCCGTTGTCTAGAATTTGGGAATTAGCACAAACTCCATTTTATGTTAACACCAAACAAAAGGAAAAAGACCATCAGTCAAAGCTATGAATTAAATATGGATTTATTCAAACTCTTCCTTTTTCAACAACCATTCATAATTTAAATTTTATTTTCCAAATATGGCTACAAACTTAACCTCTCATCATGTAATTATTATGTAACTCTGATACTCTTCAAATTGAGCAGTGAAGTCCACATCACTCTCCCTTTGAACCTGAACAGCCCTTAGTAGCTGCTTCAACAGTGTACAGTATAAGTGATGCTATACAACCTCTATGGCTGTATCATAAAAATACCATGTTTGAAAATGTCTTCCTTACTCTGAGGAACATCACTCTTGGAAACTACCCCTCATGCTTTAAAGCAGCCCAAAACCACATAAAGAAATAGCCAAGCTGAGTCTAAGCCATCGGGTAGCCAAACTACCAGACAAGTGACTGAAGATGCCTACAACTGGTCCAATCTTCTAGCCAAAGAATCACCCCTAAGCATTTAAAGACTTTTCAGCTAAGCCCACAGACATCCTAAGATAGATAAGATAAGGAATGAGCCATTTATATTTTGTCCTTGACCCAGAGAATCCATGAACATAATAAAATACCTGTTTTACACTACTGTTTCGTAACAGTCTATTATACAACAGTAATAACTGAAACAATGCCATAATTTCATGAAATAATTTTAGGGTAATTTTATAAATTTTTAAATATATCATATTCAGATTTATTTATAATTACTAATGGATGAGGTCACTGGTATAATAGTTATGACTGCTCTAAGCTTGTGGTTCTTGGTGCTTTTCTCCTTTTTATTAATTTTTAAACTTAATTGGACCAAAAAATATCCCAATATCCAAATCTTAGCCCTGCTGGTTACTATCTGGGTCATTTAGGAAATTCACATAAGATTTCCAAGTCTTTCTTTACTCTTCAGTTCAAATGGGAATAATACTTTTC